GAAAAAAACAGTGTACGACGAAAGCAATCGTGGTATCTCGAAACTTGTAGTTGTGAATATTTAGTCCTAAACAATGACACCCAGTCTCAATTTGTTTAATTAACAAGTCATATTTAAACTGTCAAACACCAAGCGGTCACCGGTGACCGCAACCTATTGTTCTATAATTGTGTCTATGATGACGGTACTCGACGAGTTAAGACGTTAAACGCCATGGGGGTCACCGGTGACCGGCGTTAGCGGAGGATTTGCCTTCAACAGTTTTTTATTGGCAGTCTTAACAGACACTTGTTATATTATTATGTCATAGGAATTTCTAAACAGTGTTATAAGTTTTACAACTCAACACAGCACGTTTCTTAAATATTTTTTGTCATATATTCAGGTTCACGAAATTTCATCAGAAGAGAGGAAAACTAACCAACGAACTTTGCAATGATTTGCACACAAACTGTCTTGCAATTGACGAAAATGTCAATCGAACTTGTTGATCTATAAGGCTAGCTTTTCCATGCGGATTTGCCCATGTGAATTAGCCTGTGTCCCTCTGAAATGTCACTATATTTTAATTTGAAGTGATTTATTACCAAACTTTATTTTGAAAAACATGAATTTCTGTTATACATAACGCACATCCTGAAAATAGTTTGTTCAGAATCGATTTATATAATTTTTAGTATAGGAATTTTTTTATCCCAAAAATAATTAAAACTACGGAAATTATTATCATATTAACCCTGTATTGTTAAAACAAATCCAAATGGACCGTAAGTCAAAGCAATAAGACTTTTAAACTGTCAAACACCGCGAGGACACCGGTGACCGCAACCTATTGTTCTATAATTGTGTCTATAATGACGGTACTCGACGAGTTAAAATCGCAGTTTTATTTGTATTCATACAAATTCTATCATTCAATACAAAATAAAGAAAAATAAACCTTATGACAAGATCAGTAAGGATGCATATACATGTTAAATAAAAAATTTAGTGTATGTATTATGATTATTTATAACATAATATTCTAATTGGGGTGTTTGAGGGTGTGCGTTAATTACGTTACATGTTGTATATTGTATAGTAGGTATTTTGAAAAGCCGCCAGACTGTTTATGAAATAAGTATGCTGTTTGACTCTAAAAAAACGTGACGTCACAATACACAATCTCGTACAAAATTCATAGAAAACGGTCGTTTTTGACAGTTCGAAAAAAGTATTGATTTTGACCAGAGACCTTTATTACGACTTTGTTTTACGTATGAGACCTTTAGTATTCTAAACGAGTACGCATTCGGCGCTCTGATTGGCCGGCGCCAACGAACCAACCAATCAGAGCGCCGAGCGAGAGGTCTCGTGTCGATTACTATAAACGTAAGACAAACTTGTACTAAGCGTACGTACGTACCCAATTCTGTCACTACAAATTCTTTGTGAAACGACAGAGACGGCACGATTAAGTACAATTTAAAGTTGAGTATGTAGCCTTCCGGTATTCGGGCGTAAGTAACACAACTGGCAATAAAACTACCTATAAAATAATACTACCTATAAAAATGTGTTATGTTATAGGTGAATGTTAACTGGACAATTTTGTTTTATTATATTTTTTTAATTTCTATTATTCTTTATCATCTGTGTAGGTAGTTCAGCTTTACCAAATATATTGCTAAGAATGTTTCTGTCTTTTTATTTGTCAAAATATGGTATTTCTACGTTTTCTTCCAATTAAAGGCTAATTTCTCCATAATTTTTGGCCCCCAAAAGGCTAGCAAGGCATTTGTAGCTGCTGCGGTGTTGCGGGTGTCCAGTGGCGCTGTTCGCTTACCAACAGGTGATCCGTCAGTTCGTTTGCCGGCTTCTTATAAGAACAATTACAACAGTCATAAATTCTCAAATCAAAATGAAATTTGATATTCCCTTTAATCATTTATTTAGGCCCGGCGCCCACTATCGGCATCGGCAAGGATCCTTCGGCATCTTACCTGCAAGCGCACACTGTCGGAAACTACGCTGGAACGTTCTAAGGGATGACGAGGCGACCTGAAGCATGGCGCACCGTCCTGGAGCATGCCGAAGTGTCTCAATATCGTATTTCTAGTCATAACAGTCATCTAATCAGTCAGCATCCCGAAGAATTCTCAAGGCTGCCGATACAGCAGCCTCAAGCATACCGAAGCGGTATTAAAGATAAAGATATTTTTTATTTGCGTTAACATGAGTAATATTGCAAGAGTACATGCAATGGTGTTAAGTTAGGAGTACCTATGAGCTACATGTTATGCCGTTTTGGCGTACAAATATTTAAAATTATAATTTAATATTAAAGCAGGTAGTGAAAAGAATATATACATGCAAACCTAAATAAGCAAAAAAGACATAGAAGACAATATTAACCGTTACAGGTACAACAAAATTATGTTAATTGTATTACAAATCTAATTTATCTTTTAAAAAATCTTCTATATTATAATAACATTTCTTAAGTAACAAATGTTTGAGTTTATTTTTAAACATGTTAAAATTTAAGGCTTGTATGGATTTAGGTATTTTATTATAAATTTTAGGACCCAGACATAATATGCTTTTGTGCAACAATGCAGTTCTAGATGGATGAATGCAAATGTTATTATTACGTCGATTTCTAACATGATATTCGGATAAGCGCGGAAACAAGTGCAAATTGCTTCTAACAAACAATTCAACTTCAAGTATGTATAAAGACGGAAGTGTTAAAATTCTGTATTCACCAAATAGCGGCCTACAACTGGTCAACTGTCCATACTTTTTATTCCGAACATAGCTCTTATGCAACGTTTTTGTTGTTTGAAGACTATATCCTTGTGAGTGGAATTACCCCAAAATATTATCCCAAACCTCAGTATCGACTCGACAAGGCCGTAATATGCTGTGAGTAAAGTATCCTTGTTAACGGTAGGTGCCAGTTTATAAAGGGCGTATGCTGACTTACTAACTTTTTTACATAGTCCGTCAATATGGTTTAACCCGTCTCACGCCCGCCGGAGAGTCAATTTAACCTAGGGCAGAGTCGAAGCGCATCGAAGCGTCTATTCACAACTGAACATAAATTCAACCTTAACCCAACAGCGTAACGCACGCTTTACTTCCGAAACGTTAAAAAGACGCGCGCATTCTTCGGACGTCTGCGCGTGACCAACGCTGATTGGTGCGCGCGCATTCTCGCGTATCCACGCGCACACTAACTACCGAATGGATTCGGACGAAAAATTAATTTACTGGTGCAAAAATATGAATGTCTGTATAATCCATGCAGTTAATGCCCATTACGTACTACTCGTCAAAGAGTGCGCGCGTATACTCTCGAATACGCGCGCATTCGTGTGGCTTCGCTTTAGTTGTGAAGAATTTGACGCTTCGGTGCGCTTCGACTCTGCGGTAGTATAAATCGACCCTTAGTATCCAAAAATAACGACTGATTTGTAAGCTTTGTTTTAGATCCTATGTAGCTTAGATAATATTGTAAAAAATTAGACGTTGCAACCACAACTCGGCAAATATCGCATCTAACATTTTGAAAAAATATACTATTAATAACTTGCGGCTGCATCGTTGGCCGAGTGGCCGCGTGACTGCAAGGAAAGGGCCGGACAAAGTCTTATTGATTTTTTTTTATCTTAATAGTAGCACGGAGTCTGGAATCGTGCCCGGTATACGGCAATAGGGTCACCTCCTATTACTTGGGACTCATAACATAAATAGTGAAAAAGTGGGTGTTACATTGTACTGTGGCATTAAGTGCCGTAATGTGCACCTCTGCCTACCCCGTAGAGGATAAAAGGCGTGATGTTATTTTATGTGTATTTGGTACAATTTGCAGCCATTCGTAAGTTGTGCATGGACCCTACATATTGATTTTTCTGTCGGTCTGGGAATATTTTATTTTGTATTAAAAATGTAGTTTTTTTATAGGCAAAAAATCGTCGCATTCTTTGACTTTCATCCCCATAAATCTTCATATTATAAATCATAAGAGCTTGTTTAATTGACGGCGATTATCTAAATACACTGGTCCGAATATTTGTGGTGAATAGTACATTTTTCAAGAAAGACTGTAGGCTCAAATATCACGCTCCAATTAATAGGAGCCGGTAAAACCGCGCGGGAAGATCAAATAAAAGATTTTCGCATAGGTATTTACCAAGTTATTTATTTTTAAAGTATAACATTAAAGTACATAACACATATGATATGAACTGAATAAGTATTCATCATGAGAGGCCAGCATATCAAGATACCCGTAAATTGTGCAATATATTTTCTACATTACAGTCACCGTGTGATAGTCACTGCTAACAGAGACGTATTGTCGGTAAGGCAAACTAGGCAAGTGCCGGGCGCCAGGTTACAGAGGGGCGCCGCGAGACGTGCGTCCTTAACTGCGCATACGAGTGATGGCGGCGCCAGAATAAATTAGAGGCGATTTAGCTATAAGCCCTTTTTTGAGGAGGGAAAAACATCCAATGGCTTCTCCTGCCTTGGGTTGGCGAGAGCCGTGTCAGACTCTTACTGACTATAAACCACCTACTCCTGCTCTTCGAGCCGGAGCCCCGGCGGTAACCCGTTAGGTCTTCCGCGGCTCCGTATCGGGCATCAGCCCTACTGGGCCCCATCTATGGTGGTCTGATGGTTCTTTAAGTCGCGCGCGGAACGCGACGCGCCGTACGCTCGGGTCTGGTTCTGGTCGGGCGGCAAGCTACCCTTCCTCGCCGTCCGCAGACCTGCACCTACGGTGGCCGGAGATTGTTCATTGTCACGCTATATCTGACGCCCAGAGTGTCTCCTGCGACGGCTGGGGCGTGAGGAGGTTTGTTCCCTCACGCGCTCTGCCTCCTCTTTGACTAGCATGACTGCTTCGCAGAAGGAGGAGACAGCACCCCAGTCCCCCTCGCTCCGCACCATGGCCCGAACTCACACACTCCTCAAAGAGGGGACTAGGGGACTTACCGCTGCAATGACAGCGAGCCCATTTGCTATGAGCCTAGGGCGCTCTCTAGGTTTAATCTGCTTCAACTAGGCTGTTCTTTAACTTTCAATTCGAAAGATCGAAGTGAACCCGCTTGCGGTCTCTCATGTCATTGGTTGTAAGAATGGTTGAACGATCTCGAACAACAACGGACGAGGATGCGATCGACCTCTCTTCAAAAATTCGAATTGCCCAGTTACATGTAGACTATTCGTCTACATGCCCCTGAGGGAGTGAGGGTGTAGTGCGAGTTTTATTTGTCGTTACGCGATCAGAACGTTATCTTAAGTTTATCAAGAAAAAATAGTGACAAATGTAGAGACATATTATTATTTAAGTGTGCCATGAGCACTATAGAGTAAAGCACTTAATAGTATATTATTTTTAAAACAATAAAGCTGAAAATAAAGAAATTTTCTAATAAGGAGTTTCTTGATCTGTCGTCTATATTTAAAATTCAATGCAAAAGATCATGAGTCAACGGTTTACTATTTGGATCTTCATACCGACTATTGGAGGCGCAATTGAACAGAGTTACAACACCATACATAGTAATGGATAAACAGAAGAATACAATCATAAGTGAGCTAAGTATTGTGGCTGTGAAATATGGGCCGCAATGTACCATTTTATTAAACGTTACGTTCACATCTTTGCCCGAAACCTGTGAAGAATTCCCAATACCGGGGCCGCTACCACTGCCACTGCCACTGCCACTACCATCGCCACTACCACTGGCACCGCCAACGCCACTACCACCGGTACTGCCACTACCACCGGTACTGCCACTACCACTGGTACTGCCACTACCACCGGTACCGCCATCGCTACCACCACCGGTACGGCCACCGTCACTATCTTCGCTATCTTCACCGTCACCTTCTCCACCACCTCGTTTTCGACTAAACATTTGGCGCGGTTGAATCTGGTGGAACATTAAATTCATCAAATTGTGAACTTAATTAAAAATGAGGTCTGCTACCGTTCTTTTATTCAGTAAAAACACAAGGGTAAGTAAGGCCTCGTTTACGGAGACACAGCGCTCGGTGTGGCGTATCATGTGTCCGTCGTACTAGTAGTACATTGTTCGTTGTGTTTGTGTTTGCGCTAGCGATGACGTGGCCCGCTACAGCGATACCCACGGATGGATTGTCACTCTACTGATACCGCACGCTTTCTCGATAATCATTCCTACATTGTTACTTCATTTCTTTTTTTTTAAACGTTGCCCCTCATTAGGTTTCTCTCCTGTGTCGTGGGTGCATTTACAAACATACAAGTTCACATACACAATGACACTCAGACCAGAAACAACAATTTGTAGATCACACGAAGAGCTGCTCCGCGCAAAATCGAAACAGCTATACGTTGCCTTATTATCTGTCGTAAGTAAACTAAAGAAACTTGACACCAACTTACCTGATACTGGCTTATAGTCAAGGAACTTCCATCTCGTGTGTTGTAGATACTGATCGGTTCTGGGCAGTAATATGAATAGTTCCAAGGTACACTTATATTCATATCCGTACGTCCGACCTCTTCGCCGCCCTCGTATATCGCAATGTGATCTAATATTAAGAATGAATGTACAATCTGGTCGCAAGTGCAAGGGGTCTCGGGTTTGATTCCCGAGTCGGGCAAAGTATTACTGAGTTTTTAATAATCTCAGTAGTAGCACGGAGTCTGGAAATGTGCCCAGTATATGGCAATAGGCTCACCCCCTATTACATGGGACTAATAACATAATTAGTGAAAAGTGGGTGTTACATTGTACAGTGACATTAAGTGCCGTAATGTGCACCTCTGCCAACCACTTCGGGGATAAAAAGTTAAATGTACAATGAGCCAAGTAATTTAGTATCACATGTCATCAACCACTATTCTTCTGCGGAATGCGCTCCCTCCCGATATCAGGATGGTGCCCAGTCGTTTGTCATTCAAGCGGAAGGTTCGGGAGCTACTTTTGAAGAGATTGGCAGAGTCGTAACTATCAATATACTATGTATAATTATGTTACGTCTAAGTAGTATATGTAATATAATTATGTAAGTTTATTGTTATGACATATACATGTAAGTTTATATAGGGATTTATTTTATGTAAGTCTATACTGTTGAGTCTTAAATACGCTTGCTTCTTGCATCGACCATTGTTTTTGTCTCTGCATCACCCAAAGGTCTGGCTGGAGGAGAATGCCCTAGGCATTAAGCCCACCTTGTACATTAGTGTGTGCATGAAGTCTTAAAATAAAAAAAATAAAGTGCCCACTGCTGAGCTAAAGCCAGAGCCCTATTATCCCTAAGGCAAACTAGACAAGTACCTAGGGCGCCGGGCTACTGACTGGCGCCACGAGACTTATAGTGCTTATAGACTGACGGCGATGCCAAAATAATTAGTTAGGAGCGCCTATGAGGTGCTTGTTACTGTCTTGTTCCATCCGTCTCTGGATAAAGCCTCATCATGGAGAAGATTTAAGCATTAATCACCACGCTAGTTCAATGCTGGTTAGTGGTTGGCTGTTTCAAAACATGTTCAAAACAATCAAATGGTTTATTTTGGCAACCATCACCTCTTAAGTTACTCTTAGACAAATACGTGAAATTGACTATCGTAGTCCTTATTTTGTTTTAAGTAGTATACTTATCTGTGTTGTACTTTATGATAATATATTTATGTTTACTTTATTATTTCATATCTTAGGTACTTATGCCTATTAGTTGCTCTCGCGCGGCTTTACCCACTCTGCTCGGCTCCTATTCATCGTAGTGTGATGTTTTATAGACTATTACCTCTATAGCCTTTCTATGATTACTATCATGAGATATGCTTAGTTAACTAAAAATCGTGGGTTATTTACGTGAAAATATACTGACTGACCGACGCAAGCGCCAACGCTAGCCAGCAGGCTGTGCGACGTCGCCGCGACCTCACACGCTGCTGACGAGGAAGAACACCTCTGTGGTTCAAAACTAGTAGAGGTCTTCCGAGTATTTTCACGTGAGTAACCCGCGATTTTTAGTTGATATAAAACGCATTGCCTTTCTCGACAAATGGTATTCAACACAAAATGAATTATTCAATTCTAATTTTCGGAAGGACCGAATCGATTTGTATAAAAATAGGAGCCGAGCAGTGGGTGACCCACACAGGAGTATCCAATATTAATTAAAAATAAATTGTATTACCCCATCGCCAGCTGTCTCGTCGAAAACTAAACGCGAATTCTAAATCAAATACTGGATATGAGACTCGAGTGGACAGTGTGCGTCTTGTGAACGTTTCTTCAGAGACTCTCGGAGGTTCTTCGAATAGGGCTCTTCGTGTCGGCGAGGCTGCATGCACTCCTAAAGAAAATGGTTCAAAATTAAAACACAATATTATATGTAGCTTTGGCACGAATGCGTATACGTTAACGTTAGAACGGAGTGATACTACAAAAAAACTGACTTGAACCAACGCTTGTGTTTTGTCGTGTAAGTGAGGTTACTGGAGGCCCAAGCTTTCCAATCCCAAAATCCTCAAATCTTTAACCCCATGACGCCGACATCACATTTGTAACTTCACACTAGCGTTTCAGGGTAGGGTACCAACTCTCTTCCGCCTCACCCAGGCGGGAGCAGTCATTCGATAATTTTCCCCCCTTAAAAAAAAAAAAAAAAAAAAGCGTTTCAGGGTGTCTATGGATAGCGCTGATGCCATCAGGTATCCCATGTGTTACCGATACCGGCCTATAGGTACCTTACAAAATACACTCGGATAAAGAGAGTTCAGGGTGCTTACTCTTGAAACCAATCTCAATGTCAATGCAATTTCAATTCAATAAAATCTCGATAACTATTCAATGTCAACACTATACAACCACAATCGTAGCTGTTACAATAACATTCAGATTCAGAGTACGGAATATAAAGACAAACTCAATACCATTTAGTTCATTCAATATTCACTCAATACGGATGCAATGGGCGCTAGTGTTGCAACTCAAGAGTATGAAATTTCACAATACCAATGTCGATCGATCAGAATTGGATTCGAGAGTAAGCCCCCTGAATGCCCTTTTAAATTGTGTCATCGTTTTTGGAAACTTTACGAAAATAAAGGCATAATTGAAGAGTCGAAACATTGTTGTGGAAAGTAGTATGTAGGTACTTCTGGGATTGCAAGTACTGGGAAAAAAAACAACGCGAAAGTGGAATTAAAAGTTTAATATGAAGCACTTGAGCAGTTCCACTTTAACCTGACCCCGAAAAAATTAAGCAGAATACGACTTCGGATTGTTCAGGAACTATTGTTACTGCTTTCAGATGGAAATAAGTCCAACCTCCCTGGTGGCTTACTATCGAATTCAATACCGATAGATCGACATTGGTATTGCGAAATTTTGTACTCTTGAGTTGGAACACTAGCGCCCATTGCATCCGTATTGCGTGGATATTGAATGAACTAAATGGTATTGAGTTTGGTTTTATATCCCGTACTCTAAATGCTATATTCAAAGACTACAATACTATATCTGGCTATATTAACAGCTGCGATCAATGATATTATAAAACTATAAATACGTCATTGGCTGCGATTGTGGTTGTTTAGTTTTGACATTGAATAATTATTGAGATTTTATTGGATTGAAATTGCATTGACATCGAGATTGGTTTCAAGAGTAAGCACCCTGTAGGTACCTACAATGATCCCCCAGCTTGAGATTACAGGAGTTGCAGCGGTTTTGGGAGGTTGTGGTGGGCTTGTCCCAATAAAAATGTAACGAAATTATTAATATTTAAATTTTTTTTTTACTTTAGTTATATATACCTATTGTTATGTCGTGATTTGAAATTTTGATATTGTATTTCTTTTATATTTTCTTGACATTTCTGTAATTTAATTTTATTTCATTTCATTTCATTCAATTGCTGTATGTTTGTATTCGCATGATGTGATTCCATTTAATTGAAGGATCACAAGGTTGCTGTAACTTCTGGTGAATTATATTTTTTAGGATGTAAGTGTAATCTTAGTTGGGAGTTCATATAAATGAAAATAAAAAAAAATCTATTCTGAGTCGTAATATCTGTAAGGCAAAGGCAAGTGCCTAAGGCGCCAGTCTAAGGCTAAAGATGGGATGGCCTTGAGATCCGCATGACCAACCGCCCATAAGCAACGGCAGCGGTAAAAAAAAATAAGGGCGCCTATGAGAGGCTTATGACTTGGGAGTTCTCTAAGTTTAATACACCTCTATTCTATGATAAAGAAAAGATAGTATTGTAACATAAAATCACGCCTTTTATCCCCTAAGGGGAAGACAGAGGCGCAGAATTCCGGCACTTACATAATGCCACTGTACAATGTAACGCCTACTTTTCACTATTTATGTCATGAGTCCCATGTAATAGGGGGTGCGCCTATTGCCATATACCGAGCACAATTCCAAACTCCACGCTACTATTGAGAATTTTAAAAACCCCAGTAATACTTTGCCGTAGCCGGTAATTGACCCGAGACCGGCAGTCGCACTTGCGACCATTCGGCCAACGAGGCAGTTGATATAGACAGATATTGTTTCTTACCAAAAAGCCTGAAGAGGGCTCCAGAGGACGCCACAAGCACACCTTTCTTTCTAGGCGCAGGATCCGTTTTCCTCATGGAAAAATCTGTTTTTTCAACCACGATGGGATTAAATTTACCGGTGTAATACGCCACGACTGGACCTGTTTTCAACTGACGGACAATAAATACCACCTCTCTCATAATAGCATCATGCCTCCTTAAAATTTGAGCTCTCGTCTCATTCGTATAGGGTCCATCTTGAAAATAAACGTAGATATACTTAAAATTATTCATAACTTGAAAGTTATTTCGACTCGATAGGTAATATACGTTGCTTTCATGGGGTTGGAATATTTGACTCAGCAATTTGTAGGGGTCGATCACTGATGGAAAGTATTTCACCTTATTATCTATTAGGCCGCTCCGTAAATTGATATATGGAGTACCCAATCTGTCTTTAGTACTTATATCTTCGGTGCTAAAGGAATCTTCGACAAAAATTATGGTGGCGTCCGAGCGTTGTTTGGAATCGTTTATGATATCCGCAAAGTTGGTTTTTGTCAACTTGGAAAATGGATTCGGATCAACTTGAACATGTGACATTATTTGGTCATGGTCTAATAAAAAAACTGGAATAGTGTTTTTATTTGCTAAACTTTTGTGTAATAAGAAAATAAACGATAAAGTACGTAATACGAACATTATTCTTTACAATATTTATTTATTTTCTAAGTCCTAAGATCCAGGTTTTTGTCTGACAACTATTTTTCTGTCTGCACTTCCTATACTCATATATACTCTTTGCTGTACTGCAAAGAGTAAGTCTATGGGAACTGCACTGTCTGGTCGTTACAATTTATTTTTTAAGAAACCAAAGAGGTTTTAATTATTCAACTTACCCACTACGAGAGATGAATTTATTGGTGATATGAATTTCTATTTCCCGATTCTTCTAGTCAGGTTACAGCATCTGCATACAGTTTAATAAGAATCCCATTTATATAGTATGTACTTATCTACTAAAGATTTACTAACTTATGAGTTCATGCAAATGAAATATTTAAAAATGAAAAAAAACAAATTCCAGATAAAATCAAAACTCCTTCAAAACATAATAAAAACAAAATATATTATAACAGTATAAACGAGAATAAAATTAATATAAGAAACATTATGAAAACAATGGATAAAAATGCAGTGTAGTCAAAGTCAATTTATCAATGAATTTCATACTTAAAAACATTGGTTTAGCCTTTGACTTTTTGCCTCTATTACGGGAGTATTATCTGAAACAAACAATTTGACGTCCGATTGAAATATTTTTTTTTAGCTTCAATAGCGTTTTTAGTTATTATAATAAATATATTTAATCCTAAAAAGTAATTATAATCTAAAATTTTACCCAAAATATAAAAATTAGTACACTAATTTCATATTTTTATATTCTATCGGCATCTTAAAAATAAGTTTATGGCAACATTATAAAGCATAGACAAGGCGTCAAACTTTATCATATGATCACTTTTCACATGACCGATGGTCAATCGTCATCGCCCGAACGCTGTCTTTTTATGACAATTTTGGGCTAAAATACTAACTTTTAGTCCGTTTTGCGTCCAATAGATATAGCCTTAAAAATGGCGTTTTGCCGTGTGGTGTTCCCGTTATTAGTTCTAAGTGTAATTAGCTGTTATGCATCCAAAGTACCAGTGTTCATGTGGGGCGATTCGATCAAGAGCTCCGTTAAAGCGAATCCTCTTACCACATACAGCAGTGAGGAATTTGCTGCCGCAGTCGAGCAGGTAATAGTACCGGGCACTCTGACTCTTGTTTTCATCGAACCAAGACTGTCAGTAGAAGATTTTTCACAGAAAAATAGCAATGGTGAAACATCGTTCCCATACTTGCATGATAACATTGATGAGGCAGTATACCTGCCTAACGTGAAGAATGCGGTGAAGGCCTTGAACCGTACTGCTGGAGACTCGGCCGCGAACATTTACGTCACTGAGGAATCGTCTGACATTCTCGGACTAAACAAATTGCACGGTGGTAATTTCATCTTCATCCATCTGAATGACGCGCGCGACGGTGAGTCGCGGGAGGACATGCTGCGCCGCCATGATGATTTCATGCACTCTACCATGGGAGACATGCCCGAAGAGCTGAACACTATTGGTATCTACACTGCTAACTACCCTTCATGGACTATCCCTGCCTCAAAGTCTCGTCCCCGCCGTGCTGTCGAAGAAAACGCAGCTAAATCCCGTATGTACACGGTGGACGGTCTCCGCATGATCACGAAAACCGTAAAAGTTATTAGCGGTAATGACTCAAGGACCTTAGGAGACCTTACGAATCATTCTTCCGAGCTAAACACTACATATGTAAACGCTACCTTCATTTTTGACAATACTACTCTGCTGCTGAATTTCAATGCTAAAGGAGGATACTGGTTCTTCGGTAAGTTGGATTACATTACCTGCACTTAATCATCACGATCTTTGAAAGACTTTTATCAATTCTTTAATATGCAGAGGCAGATTAAACCCAAGGAGCTCTCTAGGCAAGCACCTTATACACCCCTCTAATTTATGTTGGCACTGCCTTCACTTTGTACAGGTGGACGTGCACATCTCGTGGAGCCTCTCGGTAACTAGGCACCCTTGTCACTTGCCTAGTTTGCCTTAGAGCTCTATACGGCTCTACTGACATGATTTTGTTTTAGTAGTTCCATATATTTATTTAAAATTCTCTATAAATTACATTTTTAACCTGTTGAAATCCATCCCCTAAATTTGGTCATACAAAAGTAGTCTCTAAACATTAGAAATAAGGTCTATAATGTAATGTAATATTAGTGGAAAGCAGTCACCGGTGACCGCTTGGGGATTTATGGGTTAAATACTACTTACAAAAAAATTAAAAAACAATATTTAAAAATATAAGAAATAGGAGCCGACCAGTAGCGGGAGCATGGTCCAAGCTACCGGTGGTTAGGGCTCCAGAGACAGAAACCTCCTCACAATGCGCGCCGTTTCAAGGAGAACTGCCTTCTGTATCAGGCCCTTGACCCAACTACCTAACGCTAGCCTCCTAAGGTGGTCTTCGAGGCTATTAGGGATTAACCCATTGGCCGACACGACTATCGGCACAATGATAGCCGAATCTACATTCCACATGTCGACAACCTCGTGAGCCAAATCAATATATTTGATTTGTTTATCTTTTTCAGCTTTCACGAGGTTCTCATGAGTAATAGTTATATCGATTATCATCGTGCGGCGTACTTGTCGGTCTATCACCACTATATCAGGTTTATTGGCTATAATAGTCCTGTCAGTGATGATAGACCGGTCCCAGTACAATGTGATATGGTCATTTTCCAAAACTGGGTCGGGCACATACTTGTAGTACGGTACCTCAGACTCAACAAGTCGATAGTGTAAAGCAAGTTGCTGATGGATAATCTTGGCTACTTGATTATGCCTATGCAAATATTCACTGTTAGCCAAACGACCACAACCAGAAATAATATGTCTAATGGATTCACCAACATAATACGGTAGTCGACAACTAGTCAAACTTAATACTTATATCGAAACGTCAAAAACGATACTGCTCTATGAATTTATTACGAAATTCCTAGCTTATGACGTCATCATATGCATCAAATAGCACACATATTCTTTTTTTTTTAAAAACGTTGCCCCCACATTAGAATTTTCTCCGGCGTCGTGGGTTCCTTTACAAACATACAAGTTCACATACACAATGACACCCAGACCCGGAACAACAATTTGTAGATCACACGAAGTGTTGTTCCGTGCGGGAATCGAACCCGAGACACGTTGCACGACAGCCGGTTGCCCAGCTGCACCAACCGTGCAGTCTAAAAAAATGCTAGAATAAATAAAAAATTAAGTATATCGGCAAATCAATGAATGGAAGTGTGACTATTTTTCAATATTTAATTGGACTGAAAAATCAAAATAATTTATTTTTGCTCCGGAGACTACACAATTTAAAAGTAAATTATGATGAAAAAGAGATCTGAAAAATTCAATGTTTTGATTTGAAATTGAAAACTAAATGCCTGACAAGATGTACTCGTAGCATACCACAGTGAGACAATAACTATGACTAATAAGAATCTCATACAAATATGCGTACTACTGATAATAATTAACTATTGTTTCCTCGTTTATTATTAAAGTTATTTCTACAGTTAGTTTCATAATGTATCCTCTCGCGTCCGGCTCTGGTTCAGACCATGTTACGGAGCGAGGGGGACTGGAATGCCGTCTCCTCCTTCTGCGAAGCAGTCATGCTAGCTAAGGAGGAGGCGGAGCACGTGAGGGAACGAACCTCCTCACGACCCGGCCGTCGCGAGAGACACTCCGGGCGTCGGCGATCGCGAGACGATCTCCGGCCACCGTAAGCACGGGCCTGCGGACGGCGAGCATGGGTGACTCGCCGCCCGACCAGAACCAGGCCCGGTCTGATGGCTCCTTACGGCGCGTCGCGTTCCGCGCGCGCCTCAAGGAGCCATCAGACATCAACAGATGGGGCCTAACAGGGCTGATGCCGATACGGAGCCGCGGAAGACTTAACGGGTTGCCGGGGCTCCGGCTCGAAGTGCAGGAGTAGGAACGGGGTGGTTTTTAGTCAGTAAGAGTCTGACACTCCCTCCCGCCTCACCCGGGTGGGAGAAGTCATTCGATGATTTTCCCCCCTCAAAAAAAAAAAAAGTTTCATAATGTATACAGACAAGTAAACATTTTTTCTCACATATCAGTCAACTTATATAAACTAGAAGAGAAATTTGGCCAGATGGCATTCTCTAATATAAATATTAGGACGTTACCACATCAGTCAAATACAGTAATCAATGCTTTTTTTTGAGGGGGAAATTCATCCAATTACTCCTTCCACCTTGGGTCAGTAGTCAGTAGGGGTCACTCGGCTCTCACCAAGAGAGGGAGTGTCAGACCCTTACTGACTAAAAACCACCTTGTTCCTAAAAAATCACGACAAACTGGTTACGCTACCGAACTACAATAAAACGCTCTTTTTCACGACGCCGCACGGCAACGCGGCAACGCACCGCAACACAAACTGCCGATTTTAGCGTTGCGGCGACGCAACGCTGTTATGTGTTTGGGCCCTTCGAGCCGGGGCCTAGGCAACCCGTTAGGCCTTCCGCGGCAGTCAAATGCTATGTAGCATTTTACATAATACTAGCGACCCGCCCCGGCTTCGCACGGGTGCAATATGCATGTATTATACATACAAACCTTCTAAAAAGTATTAAAAGAAACCGCATCAAAATCCGTTGCGTAGTTTTAAAGATCTAAGCATACATAGGGACAGACAGCGAAAGCGACTTTGTTTTATACTATGTATTGATAACATCACTATATACTATTTTTTTTTTTCATTTTCATAGACACAGTGGTCCTAACGATTGGTGATTTGACCGACGTGCTCTACCCTGATGAGGAGGTGTTCGCTCTGGTAGACTTCTCTTACCGTTGTGCCCAGCACGTCAGCTTCTCCAGCAGGAACGAAACGAAGACTTACACTGTTGATTTTGAGGATTTGAAGGTATGAATTTATTAATTTATTTATACTTTATTGCACACAATGAAAAAAATATTGTAAACATTGCAATAGTTATTTGAGTACAATGGGCGGTCTTATCACACGCGGCGACTTCTTCCAGACAACCTTTGGATGGAATTTTTGAAAAGAATCTGGGAATGGTTGATAGATGCACAATAAAAGAAAACCAAAACTGAAGAAATACAAAAAAAAAAACAAATTAAACAATAAATAGAATTTACAGACTACATATAATATACTAAAATAATATGAAAAATGGACAATGCTATGTAATAAATATGAATGTATTTTTTTAAGCATTTTCTAGGCCAAGTTGTAACTGGCTCCGGAAGGATAGGTAGATTCCAAGCCTAGATGTCTCAATAATGATATTATAACAACAGATAATATAGCCTTATTGACGATTTTGAACTTAAAAAAAGCCTGGACTGCCTCGTTGGCCGAGTGGTCGCAAGTGCGACTGCCAGTCGGTCTCGAGTTCGATTCTCGGGTCGGGCAAAGTATTACTAGATTTTATTAACTCGTCGAGTACCGGTTTTGTAGACACAATTATAGAACAATAGGTTGCGGTCACCGGTGACCGCTTGGTGTTTGACAGTTTAAATAACATTTTCAGTAGACTAGCAGGGAGTCTGAAATTGTGCTCGGAATATGGTAATGATCATTCCCTATTACATGGGACTCATAACATAAATAAAAAGTGGGTGTGGGTGAAAAGTGTATTGTACAGTGGCATTAAGTGCCGTAATGTACACGTCTGTCCACCACCACATTTTATATAGTAAAAGGCGTGACGTTAGGTTATGTTGCAAAAGCTTACGATGGAAATCCTATTTAAGAAACTTAACAATTGACCCTGGGTTGGATAATATTGGAAAATTCTCCATTATTGTCAAGAAAATGGAAGAATTTTTGTTAAAAAAAAAGTTAAGCATTCAGCGACATTCGATGCGGTACCTGTCGCGCTTCTGCTGACACTAGTCGAGTTCCTCGTCAAACAATTGCAGGAATAAGCAGAAAAAAACGTAATAATTAATTTAGAACATCTCACGAAAGTTAAAAATTAGTAAATGAAGTATCCATAATTTTATAGACAAAAGCGATTCAAATTAAAGAAAAAAAAAAAAACTAAACTAAACTTTCGTTGACAAAAATAGCGAAAATTCAAACAAAATCGAAATTAAACTGTCAAATACCAAGCGGTCACCGGTGACCGCAACCTATTGTTCTATAATAGGCATGGCGACTATTTTTTAATTTTTTGTCCGTCTTTTAGATATTTTAAAAATCTTCGATACGTATTTTTTCTTTTTTCTCGTATCCAAAAAAACATGTAGATATTTTGAGTTAAAATGACGCGTGACGTCACAATTAGGTACGATTTCTCCGTAACTGTGACGTCAACACCCCCCACTCCCTAACTTTAATGCGGAATAACTACGTATTCTTCTGTTAATTTGATAAAACAAATAATACGTGTCTGATATTTTCTTGCGATCTTAATGACGGACTAATTACTTTTTTGATTTTTTTACCCTGTCGACACGCCTATTGTGTCTATAATGACGGTACTCGACGAGTTAAATTGCTTCAAAAGTAACTTTCTACAGCCATTATCATTTCAAATCAGTGACCAAGCTCGGCTTTTGTTCTTTATTTTAAAATCTTAAATTCAAATTTGGAAGAATACATACGGAAAAGACGATGAAATATGCCAGCATTAAAAATGCATAAAAACTTTTTTGTTATATTGCATATATTTTGCGTAATGGGCTTTTAGGCCCGGGAATGTAATGTGGCTCGATTCAAGTGTCCGGAAATGTATTTGTGGTAACATTTTACATTATGTTTAAAGACTCGATCTAGATTTCATTTACTCTTGAGTCCAATTGGATATTTTCCAGGGTATCAAAATTAAAAGTCTATAATTAGTCCGTCAGTTAGATAATGAAAAAATATTACACACGTATTTTTTTATTTTCTCGTGTTAAGTTGCAATACTTAATAGATAAAATGGCGCTAAGTTTAGGAGTGGGATGTCGTTACGTCATAACGTGCTACAAAATGTGGTACGCTGTGACGTCACACGATATTTGAAATTAATATATCGTCGAAAGTATTTAATTTTGATGACTGATGATGATGATAAATGACTGCCTCGTTGGCCGAGTGGTCCCAAGTGCGACTGCCGGGCAAGGGGTCTCGGATTCGATTCCCTGGTCGGGCATTCCAGGGTTTTTAAAAAATTCTCAGTAGTAGCACGGAGTCTGGAATTGTGCCCGGTATGTGACAATAGGCTCACCCCTATTACATGGGACTCATAGCATAAATAGTGAAAAGTGGGTGTTACATTGTACTTTGGCATAATGTGCACCTCTGCATACTCCTTCGGGGATAAAAAGCGTGATGTTATGTTGAAAATACAATTTTCCCTTCACAGGTCCAGCCATTCTTCGATAGCAATACGACACAAGAATTCGGTGACTCCTTCAACTGTGTCGGTTTCTTCTCTGCACCCATCTGGGCTGGTCTGTTCGTTGTCTTCATACTCCTCAGCATCACCTTCTACGGAATTATGATGATGATGGACATTAGGACCATGGACCGCTTTGATGATCCCAAAGGCAAGACTATCACCATCAACGCTGCCGAGTAAGGTTGTAATAAGACGGTGTTTTAGTATTTAGTCAGTTAAGTGATGTTTTTTTGTAATGACTTTTTGTTGAAATGTCAATCTGTTATATTTGGTAATCATGGGTAATTTTTCTGTTTTATATGGCAACACTTTGTAGCCAATGTTTGTGATAAATGTTTGTCTAAGATTTGTCAAATATTTGTGACAAATATTGTTAAAATTTAGTCTTTGAATGTTCATGTATTTTTGTGAGAACTAATTCTAAAACATCGTTTTAATTACAATTTAGACTTAAAGTCATGTTACTGGTGCCGTAGGAATGTCATTGTTCGCGTTCTGAGCTCAAATCAATTCCAAAACTATTTATTGTTATAATATTAATACCTAGAGGTTTAAGAAATGATTTTCGATATATTTAATAACTGTAACAACGGTGCCTCGACGCGTAGACAATAGATAAAGACTTAACGTTCAATTCTAAATTAATCGAATCGAAAGAACTCGATTACTTTTTATTCGGTGTTTAAAACGCAAATATATACTCTTACCGCTTATATAAAAGCTTATGTATACTTTATATATGTAGAATTTAATGTTAAGAGAGTTTGAGAACCGAAAATGTGCCTCCGATACAAAGAAACTTAGTGGGTGATGATAATATTTATTAAATAGATAAAAATATAAAACGGGAGTGCGTATTTAGACATTGAAACATTCCTATCTTGTCAAAATAACTGACTTATGGAGCAAAACGGGCCAAAAAATCAATATTCGAACTAACGAGCTAACCTTTTGAATGCACCGATATAAGACACAATAGGAAATATATTGTGTCTCGCGTGGATCCACTTAGACAGACGAAAGGTTAAAATTGATATGAAAATTTGCTCGATACAAGTATTATATTTTTGAAACTGCTGTAAAGTAAAGAAACTAAATATGCACTCCCTTTATAAACTAAATAGCCTAAATTAGGAACCATGGCCTTATTACAATGCAATTATTAAACACAACGATAATAATAAACTATGGAGCTTGTACTCAGCGCTTAGATTTAGAAGGAATTTAGGAAAATTTTGACGATTTGTTTAAGCTGCCTAAAAAGGAAATGGCCTATAATATTATTACCATATACATAAAAATAGTCGTCGAAATTTTTCTGCAATTTCATAGATAAAAAATATTCAAATCTTTTACCGACTTTTACGTAAAATTGTATAATTATATGAAGAGTAATATGAATGACAGATGTAGTTTTGTATACAGAAAAGTTGTTATTGAAAAGAGATCCCTCCATTCTAGTGCCAATTGTATGTCCATTACATAAAGTTGGTAAAATAATAATATATAAAATATAATTGTAACAAAAAATGTATTTATAAGAGTTACAACCTCATTTGTAAGATTTAAATATTTCCCGTTACAATTTTTCCCCATATTTGGGTAACTTTTTTCGCTCTGACAACTCTGTGTGTGCCGCGAAAGTGAGTTGGCCAAATATTTTTTTGTAGTTTTTTTTTTCAGATGTAAATCCATGGTTTTTTAGCTGTAAGCATAATCTTCATATTTTTCTTTTAATTTGTAAATAGTATTGTTTTTCTGAATTATTTTACTGTTGTTTCGAAGTATTAAATCGTGAGACCAATATTTTATTTTTGTTTTATTTTGTTTTATGTCAAATGTGTTCCTATATACCTAGATGTGTTGGATATTATAATATTACAGATACTTAATAAAAGCTTATAATATTAAATGTGTGTTATTTCTTGATAAAAAAATATTTTTACTGTTCTCATAAACATGGAATATTTCGAGGACTAGAAGTCCTAGCTAAAAAAATAACGACATTTTCGAACCCTCTAGTTCCGTACACCCTCTGTAGAAACATACTTACTGATTGATGGATAGAGTGGGGAGGACATTGGTTGAAGTGGGGCCACTTTTGAAATTATAAAGCATGTCGACATTTTTAATTTGTATTCTTACTATCTGTACTTTTGAATTCTCACCTACACTCAGTTGGACAGCTTATAAGTGACGGCATAGTGATGATTTTATGCCCTTATATCCTTCTAGATAGGTCTCTTATTGATTCAAATGACGACCATTTTTTGACACGGGCCTCTTCCTCTCCTCCTCCTTTTCTGTCAGCTGGATGGAAGGCGCCCCCTGTTCAGAGGTTCCCGACGGGTACTATAATTATCCCACTGACAAATACTTAACTTTTTATGCAACTCACTCATAATCTTGTAGGACTTTCTACTTTTTTTATGGAATAGGAGGCAAACGATCAGATTGATCACCTGATGGTAAGCGATCAGCGCCGCCCATGGACACCCGCTACACCGTTGCCGGCCCTTTAAAAAGGAATACGCTCTTTTCTTGAAGGTTTGAAGGTCGTATCGGTTCGGAAATACCGCCGACGACAGATCATTCCACAGTTTTGCTGTGCGAGGCAGAAAGCTACTTGAGAAGCTCACAGTTGTGGCCTGCCAACCATCTATATGGTGGGGATGCATATGCTGTCGTAAGGTAAGGGTCGATGGCGAAAAGATGCTACTACTTTTAGGTCCCTTTTTTATTTATTTATTTAAGGAACTTTTAACAAAGTGTTCCATCGAAACCTTATCTAACAAATACCTACACAATTACCTATAAGGTAATTAATGAATAAACCAATATAGCTTAAGGTGACATTGGTTGACCCAAGATTACATTAAATGTACCTAAATCTAACGTATTTATGTTAAGTTCACAAATTAACTTGCTCCTTTCAGATTCATTTCTGACACACTCCACCAGAAGATGATATACATCTTTTACTTTATTAATACACACTAAGCAATTCGGAGAGTCCACAATTCTCATGAGGAAAGCAAAGGCTTTAAGTTCGGAACGAATTCTAAAAGATGTTATTATCTTACGGCTAGCTTCAAAATTACTAAACCATGAGATTCGAGGTTAGGTCTCTTGCTAACCAATTTGCAAATATCGCAATTCTTGACCTAAAAATGTCGTCGTTGCAACAAAAATGTCATACTTACTCTTCTGCCGTTGGCGTCATCCGCGTTCCCGTGGGACAAAAAGTAGCCTATATGTTAATTCAGAGCATAATCTTCCCCTGTTCCCAATTCAATAGGTACTGATCCCTTCAGCCATTTTGACACGAAGAGGTAATCAAAGTCGTAGTAGTAAGTAATCAAACGCCAAGTCATTCTTGAAGAATTATTTTGTACCCACAATTTTAGCTGTCCTGGTACTTACTTCGAACGCAGGTTTGATGACTTACAGTCTCCCGGACAAGCTGGGTTCCGGTAGACCACATTCATGAGCTGCGGCAAGTTATACAGAAGACTGAGGAGTATAACTTGCCACATGCTTGGCGTTTATAGGATATGTGATAACTCTGAAACTGTTCATTGCGCCGGCCCTAGGGCGCACCGGGCCGCCGGGCGTCATTACGGTGGGGGCGCACAAATTGCACGATAGAACCACAAAACAATGCGGGAAGCGCGGGGCGGGAAAAACGCGGGTTACTCACGTGAATATACTGAGAAAAGTTCTACTAGAACCACAGAGCGGTTCTTCCTCATGAGCAGCGTCAGCGGTCGCGGCGACGTCGCGCAGCTTACTCGCGCTATCTACCGTAACTATCACTCACAGTGAGCTGCGCAATTATAAAAATTATCTATCTATATAAATAAAAATCAATTTCCGTTCGTTAGTCTCGCTAAAACTCGAGAACGGCTGAACCGATTTGGGTAATTTTGCTCTTGAAATGTTCGTGGAAGTCCAGGGAAGGTTTAAAAGGTGAGAAAAAACATTAATAGGCGGTACGAAGTTTGCCGGGCCAGCTAGTAAACATATAAAAATAATCGTATATCTTTCATTCACTAATTCGATGATATACAACATACCTACATTCTCGCAAATTCAAACCAAGAGAGCCAAAATGAACAGAAACGAGAGCCAAAAGGCCCACACAAAAACACGATCCACGAAAGCGTGTGGGGAGCGTAAAAACGGCCCTGGGGTAGAATTACATGTCTCTTGTATGTCATTTACTGGGCACGTACACAAAACTGCGATGCCAATTCGCAACGCAAAAAATTACGATGCAAATTGCTACAATGCAATTTCGTGCGACAAGGTATCTCCCAGGGTGTGGTGGGTACTAAACGTATTTTAAATTGAAAACTAGGTCGTGACATGGATCGTAAAACGAAGTGTGCACTTTTGTTATAACTTAGGAGATACAGGAAAAGAAACAAAGAAGATTTTGGGAAGATAATGAAACGCGATGCGAAACAATTCGCAAGTTCTTGCGCTCCCACATTTTTGCGATGTAACGTCGCATCGCAGTTTTGTGTACGAGCCCACAATCTGACTTAGTTGGTCTTGGGACCCATAAAAATATGTTTAAATATGTTGATAAGTTTATTTTTGATTAACATAATACTACTTTGCGACTATTAATATATACAACTTAAAATATAAAAAAATAATTTAAAACTAAAATATTTACACCTTAAATAAAAAAAAAATAAATCATAAGGCATCAAAGAAAACATTTTCCTCATCGCTACCGTGAGGTAGGGTGCCCAAAAGACTGGCAGCATTGCCACGTTCAATTCAATGACAATGCTTAAGTAATCATTGCCTAAGGTAGTAGCCAGCCCTTCGATCACCTGAAGTGTCAACCATCCAGCAATTGATAGTATACTTTTCAACATGATAAGTTTACTTTATGATAAGTACCTACACTATCAATTGCTTAAAC